GGGATGTTAGTGCAAAGATTCCTACTATTGATTCAGTTCCAGTGGTGAGAGATTTTCCGGATGTGTTTCCTGCAGGCATGCCGGGCATGCCGCCGGACAGGGATATTGACTTCAGTATTGATTTGGTGCCGTGCACTCAACCCATTTCTATTCCACTGTATCGTATGGGACAGCACTATTAGTGGAGGAGAATGAAGAAAGATATAGTTGGGTTTGTAGCTCGGTGTCTCAACTGTCAGCAGGTGAAATATGAGCATCAAAGACCGGGTCTCTTGCTTTAGAAGATAGAGATTCCAGAGTGGACGTGGGAGCAGATCACCATGGATTTCGTAGTTGGGCTCCCACGGACTTCGAGGAAGTTCGATGCTGTTTGGGTGGTTATGGATCGGCTGACCAAGTCCGCGCACTTCATTCCTATGAGCACTACCTATTCTTCAGAGCGGTTGGCTGAGATTTACATCAGAGAGATTGTTCGCTTCATGGGGTGCCAGTTTCCATCATTTCAGACATAGGCACACAGTTTACATCGCAATTTTGGAGGGTCGTGCAGCGAGAGTTGGGCACTCAGGTTGAGTTAAGCACAATAGTTCACCCTCAGACGGACGGACAGTCTGAGTGAACTATTCAGATATTGGAGGACATGCTACGCGCTTGTGTTGATTTTGGGGGTTCATGGGACCAGTTTCTGCCACTCGCGGAGTTTGCTTACAACAACAGTTATCAGTCGAGTATTCAGATGGCTCCGTATAAGGCTTTATATGGGAGGCGGTGTGGATCTCCAGTTTGGATTAGTTTGAGCCGGGTGAGGCTAGACTTTTGGGTACAAACTTAGTTCAGGATGCATTGGACAAGGTGAAATTGATTCAGAAGCGACTTCGCACGACGCATCGAGACAAAAGAGTTATGCTAACAGAAAGGCCCATGATGTATCTTACATGGTTGGGGAGAAGGTCTTGCTGAAGGTTTCACCCATGAAGGGTGTTATGAGATTTGGAAAGAAGGACAAGTTGAGCCCTCGGTTTATTGGGCCGTTTGAGGTGCTTTAGAGGATTGGGGAGGTGCTATGATCTTGTTTTGCCACCTAGCATATCGAGTGTGCATCCAGTATTTCATGTTTCTATGCTTCGGAAGTATATCGGTGATCTATCTCATGCTTTGGATTTCAGCACGGTTCAGTTGGATGGTGATTTGACTTATGATGTGGTGCCGGTGGCTATTTTGGGGCGTCAGGTTCGAAAGTTAAGGTCAAAGGATATAGCTTCAGTGAAGGTGTAAGGGAGAGGTCAGCCCGCGGAGGAGGCTACTTGGGAGACCGGAGATGCAGAGCATATACCCTCACCTATTTGAGGCTCCAGGTATGTTTCTATACCCGTTCGAGGACGAACGTTTGTTTAAGAGGGGGATGATGTAACGACCCGGCCGATCGTTTCGAGAGTTATAGCCCCGTTCCCCCATTTCCTACTTTTTTTTGTTCTACATCTATATTATGATATACCGGGTTAGTTGGTTCAGGTCCGGAGTGGTTTCAGAGTGAATCGAGACACATAGTCTCTTATTTGGAAGCTTAAGTAGGAAAAAGTTGACCAGATGTCGACTTATGTGTAAAAGATCTCGGATTTAAATTTTGATGGTTCTGTTAGCTCCATTAGGTGATTTTGGACTTAGGAGAGCGTCCGGAATGTGATTCGAAGGTCCGTGGTAGAATTAGGCTTGAATTGGCGAAAGTTAGAATTTTGGCAATTTTTACCGGCAGTGGAAATTTTAATATCGGGGTCAGATTGGATTTCATGAAGATGGAGTAGGTTCGTGTTGTCATTTCTGACTTGTGTGCAAAATTTGAGGTCATTCGGACGTGTTTTGGTAGGTTTCGGCATCGTTTGTGGAATTCAGAAGTTTAGAAGTTCTTAGACTTGAATCCGGTGGTAATTTGGTGTTTTGATGTTGTTTTGAGTGATTCGAAGGTTTGACTAAGTTCATATGATGTTATGGGACGTGTTGGTATGTTTAGTTGAGGCCCCGAGGACCTCGGGTGAGTTTCGGGTGATTAACGGATCAATTATGGCCTTTGACAGATACCCGATCTACTGGTTTTTTGCTCTTACTGGTTTCCTGTTACGCGTTCGCGAGACAGGTCTCGCGTTCGCGAAGAGTATCTGGAGTTTGAGGAAGAATTTTTCTTCACGTTCGCAAAGTAAGGGACGTGTTCGCGAAGGTTTAAGAGTAGTGTGCATCGCGGACGCGAGATGAGTAACGCATTCCGAAGAAGGGAAGAGGTAGCTGGGGACCCCATCCATTTGGTCTACGCGTTCGCGAAGGTGAGGTCGCGTTCGCGATGAGAAGGTTCAGTAAAGGTTCGGTTCGCGAGTGACAGATCGCGTTCGCGTAGAAGGGATTTCTAGTCAGAGGCAGTTTGTGCTTCGCGAACGCGAGGTTACTTCCGCGTTCGCGAAGAGGGAAATCTGGGCAGTAGTGTTAAATTTCAAAATCGAGGGTTAGACCCAATTTTTCATATTTTGAGTTAGAGACCACGGATTTGGGCGATTTTTGAAGGGATTTTCAGCGAGTTGATTGGGGTAAGTGTTCCTCACTTGATTTTGGTTAAATTCCATGATTACATCTTGATTTTGAACATCTAAATTGTGATTTGGGGTGAAAAATTGGGGGAAAAGTGGAAGAGTTCTTGAGATGGAATTTTGAGGTTTTGAAGGGGATTTTGTTGTCGGATTTGAGTAAATTTGTTATGGTTAGACTCGTGAGTGAATGCGCTTTCTGGTTTTGTGACTTTTGTCAGATTCCAAGACATGGGCCCGGGGGCCGGGTTTGAGCCAATTTCGGGTTTTGAGTCTAATTTAGTAGTTTTTCTTGTGGAATTGATTCCTTTAGCATATATTAATGGTATTGTACTGCTTGTGGCTAGATTCGGGACGTTCGGAAGCCGATTCGAGAGGCAAGGGCATTGCGGAGTAGAGATTTGCTCGGATTGAGGTAAGTAACAATTGTAAATCTGGTCCTGAGGGTATGAAACCCCGGATTTTGTGCCATGTGATTATTTTTCGAGGTGACACACATGCTAGGTGACGGACGTGTGGGCGTGCACCGATGGGGATTGTGACTTGGTCCGTCCCGTAAAAACTGTAAAGTTGAACAACCTGTTGTTAGCCTCCTATGTGTTATAGAAAGATTGACTGTAAATCATGCTAGATACCATGTTTAGGCTTTATGCCGGTATTGTTGGGACTTTAGTGGTCGTTTCTTGCTATCATCTCATTGTTTTCATTGATATTCCGTACTCAGTCTTGTTCATGCATTCTTATATCACATCTCAGTCTCTGTTATTCTATTTTATGCATCATGTCATTAATGTTTGGGCTTATTATCTTGATTTCTGAGAGCCCGAGAGACTAGAGAGATTGATGAGGGAGTGAGGCCGAGGGCCTGATTGTGAGGACATTTATGGGATCGGGCCGCACGCCGCAGCATGTTTCATTGATTCTGCAATGATTGGCGTTGATACATCGCTTGGGTTGAAGGAGCCCCTCCGGAGTCTGTATACACCCCTAGTGAGCGCAGGTGCCTACTGAGTGCGAGTCCGAGTGCTGAGCGATTATGAGGAATGAGTGGCTGTGAGGTTGGAGTGATTGGGAGGACTGAGTGATGATTGCCCGAGGGGTAGTATATGATTTCATCATTGATGCTCATAGTTGCCTTATATCCTTGCGTTGGGAACTGTTGAAAGATATTTTATCTGACTTTACTTGAAGTTGACTTAAATCAACTTATTTGACTTAAACTCTGGACTGAAAGCATGCCTACACTTTACTGAATTTAATGAAATGAACTGTATTTGCATAGCTCGTCACTACTTCTCAGTTCCCTATTTATTTCTGTTACTTACTGAGTTGGTGTACTCACGTTACTCCTTGCGCCTCGTGTGCAGATCCAGGAGTAGTTGATCGTGGAGGTTGTTGATAGTCCTCGTAGCTGGTTATTGGAGATAGTAAGGTAGCCGCCCGGCGTTCGCAACCTCGCTATCTTCTCCCCTATCTTCCTTTAGTTGTATTTTGGATTTCAGACTATGTTTGTCTTGTTATTGTCGGACCAGTTATGTTAGATGCTTGTGACTTAGTGATACCCCGATGGTTGGGGCTTTCTTTCTGCATTTCTATATAGAGTTCAACTCTTGTTTCTTTTTCTTAATGAAAATTCTGTTATAAAAAGGTTTTTTAGCACATCTTTGAATGAATTATTGAAGTATTATGAAAGTCGGCCGGCCTAGTACCATCAATAGGCGCCATCAAGACAGGTTCGAATTTAGGGTCGTGACAATATTAAATATAGTTATAAAATGTAATTAAAAATATGGACCTAAATAAAAATAATAAATAAGTTTATATAATAGTATAACTAGGTAAATTTTCCTATTATTTAGGCCTAGGACAATATCACTGTATCAATTAGAGTTATTTGTGACAATAGGTATTAATTTGGTATGATTATCTAATTTTAGAACACTTCAATTATAAATATATGCTTACTGCTCAAGTCCATAGCGATGTTTGAGTTTTCACCCCTTTTCCACTTTATACATACACTAAGCAATATCTTAGTAAAATTTTTTCAAATTTTTAAAAATTCCAAAATTCATCTTCAAGTAAAAATTAAATTTTATGACCAAAGACTTTTTTCAAAAAAAAAAAAGTAAAAATATTTTGAAAAAAAAAATATTTTTCATGGACAAACAGGCTCTAAAATTAACTTTGGACGGGCATCTATTTAAGTTAATTTCTCAAATTAATTTTGGTATTCATAAACATAAAAGATATATGAATATAATACTGAAAAATATATTTTTTAATCTAAATAATAAAGTATGATGGAGTAACACTCCTATCTGTGATATAATTCTATTCCTTTTGTATTTTATGTTGACAAGTATTCTGCAACTTCTTGGTAATTACTTATCGATAAAGTCATAGAGTTATCTTAGATTTTGTCTCTCTGCTTTTTATACTAATTTTGATTTTGGTTAGGTTATTACTATTTCTTTTTATTCTGAAAACACAGCTTCTTGCTTCTCTCTCTAGCCACTCTCTCAAGGTAAGCAAAGTATAATTTTATTTTCTTTTCTCACATAAAGATTTTAAATCATGAATTGGGATTTTGTTTTTCTCATTGATAGAAACTTTTTTAATGATCTAATGAAAAGGGGAAAATCAAGAAATTGGAATGAAGTGATTGATTGAATTGGGGATATTCAACTGATACTAGGGTTTAATTCTATTAGGGTGAGAAAGTAATTGTTCTTTTTTCTGAATTGAAACTTGTTTCATGTTTTAAAGTATACAAGTTTGATCAGAGGTATGGGGTATGGAAAGATGCTAAGTTATTTGGTAGTATTTCTCTGCTTTCTATCTCAATTATACTGCATGCGTAAGATCAGTATGAAAGAGTGAGCAGGGTCCAGTTGGAATTGCTTTGGATCAGCCCCTTTCTGTGCTGTTTTAGACAAAGCTGATTTTATAGTACTAACACTATAGTAGTTATTGTGTGTGTGTGGAAGGGGAGGGGGGGGGGGGGGTAGGGTGGTAGGGGAGGGTAGTAGG